AGGAAGTGTCATCAATACGTTACATGGCTTATCTCACCCAGGTATTCGAACTACCGTCAGCCCTATAACTACTCAGTTTCGCTGGCCTCGTCATGATAAGATAAGGGAGTGGGCTCACACGTGCTTAGCTTGCCGAAAGTGAAAGATAGTGAGACACACCAAAAGATCTCTTGGCACTTTTCTTATCCCTGGTGATAGTTTCGAATACGTTCATGCAGATTTGGTTGGACCACTTCCAGAATCTCATGGATATACGTACATCTTAACATGCATCGAACTTTTGCAAGATGGTCTGAAGCAGTACCTCTCAAAGATGCAACTGCTGAAAAAGTCGCACGCGTCTTTGTCGGACGATGGGTCGCAAGTTTCGGATGCCCATCCTCCATATCAGCTAATCGGTGGTGGCAATTCGAAAACGGCTTATTGTTTGCCTTGACTAAGATCATAGGTTGTATGCGTTTTGGAACAACAGCCTACCATCCTCAAGCTAATGGCATGGTAGAACCTCTACACCAACAGCTGAAGGCGGGGTAATCAGCTGCAAACAATGCACGTTAGAACAGATCACTACCATTAGTTCGCCTAGGCGTCCGGAATGCCTTGAAAACTGATGGTGGTTGCACTGCTTCCGAGCTGGTATATGGCACAACACTCCGACTACCGTGTAAGTTTGTTTCTCCCTATAGCTTCTCACTAGAATTAGATAACGACTCATACTTCAGCAGGCTTACATATGTAATGCGCTCAGTTAAACCTGCTCCCCTCCGATCAAGTTTGAAAACTTCTTTACACGTATTTGTTCGTCGTGACTCTGTACATCGCCCTCTGGAACCCCATACGACGGACCATATAAAGTCATTAAACGTATAGATAGATATTTTGTCCTAGAAAATAAAGGTCTCGAATACCCTGTAGGCATTGATCGTCTGAAAAATACGCACATAAAAGTTAATCCTATCAGCCTAGAACTAAGCATTCCCATTAATATACAGCTACCCGAATATCTGTTAGTCCTCGAAGAAATCACTAGCATGCAGATACCTTGCCTTGTAAACACCCATTTATGTGAAGTATAAATTATTATTATGTGACGAAACCCTTGTAAGATCACCTATGTCATTACAGAGGCTGAGTGTGTTGATTGTAACGAATAGTACGGTTTTTACTAATGCAGAATCCAACACTCACAACTTCTAGGTATTCGTTCCGCGTAAACCAAAGGCAAAGCAAAACAACAGAAGTGATTGTCCGAATTACGTAGTATATTTAGGGACGAAATCAGAGTGTTTAGATGATTGCTTAACCAGCTAGGGATCGTGCACGGACGAACGAACGTAAGACGACGGCATGCCAAATAGCGTGGGTGCTTGACCGTGAGCCTTCAGCTAAACAAATCGACTGAGACGGCGAGGGTCAGCATCCAGTGTTCAGTGATGAATACTGTGGCGAATAATTCTGGGGAATTCCCTACCGCTACATCATGCACAATCTCGAAACTGTAGTGGCGGTTGAGTAGCAGTTCCTGTGAATACCTTGAGAATGAAAAATTTGCAGATCTAGCGTTATCCTACTCTATCTATTTATTTCCTCTATAGATGGTCAATTGAGAGCGCACCATCTTGGTGTCCCGGAAAGGTGGTTAAATCGTCTAGTTCGTTTCTTATGGAATTTCGCGCCAATGGAATAATTCACAGGATCACATAGTTTCATTGAAAGTGAGATTGAACCTTGGTTCAGTAAAGTTATCCTAATAATCGTGAAGTGTAAACCTCGCCTAGATTACTAGCTCACTAGTTTTCTAGCCGGTCCCAAGCCCGGATAAAGAGGGAGGGTTGGGGCGTGGTGCCAGCAACCCCAGCCCCAAAACTTAACCAAATTGCCACAGAAACTTCAACGCACAAATATATTAAAAACTCTAAAAACATAAACAATAACCTTATTTTTCGCTGGAATCGGAGAAGTGAAATGACGCGGGCTGGTAAAAGCCTTCGGAGAGCCAGTCAGCCGATATGCCTCCTTTCGATGAAAGCGAAAATAAGGATGGGGACGTGGAATGTTCTTACAATGAGCGAAGCTGGAAAGGCTGCCCAGGTAGCCGCAGAAATGAGAAGATATAAAGTAGAAGTGTTGGGAATCTGCGAGAGCAGATGGAACGGATGTGGAAGAAGCCAACTACCAACTGGAGACAATAATCTACTCCGGTCATCCAGAGGACAAACACGAGCAGACCGAGGGAGTAACCATCATGATGTCACCAACAGCAGCCAAAGCTCTCATGCGGTGGGAGCCAATCTCCTCCAGGATAATGACAGCCAGGTTCACCTCAAAAGGAAGGAAGGTTACAATCATTCAGTACTACGCGCCTACAAACGCCTCAGAACATGAGAAGAAGGAGGATTTCTACAGTCAACTACAAGCAGTAATGGACAACGTCCCAAAGGGCGATATCAAAATCCTGATGGATGATATGAATGCGAAGCTGGGAGGAGACAGTACAGGAAGAGAATTCACCATGGGTCGCGAGGCTCTCGGTGAAATGAACGGCAACGGTGAACTCTTCTCACACTTCTGTGCTTCAATGATTTGGTGATTGGGGGCGGTATGTTCAAACACAGGGATATACACAAGGTGACATGGATTTCACCAGATGAACACACCAAAAATCAGATAGACTTCATTTCAATCTCAAGGAAGTGGAGACGGAGCCTACTGGACACAAGGTCGAGGAGAGGAGCAGATGTGGGTTCAGACCACTATCTAGTACAATGGACTTTCAAAGTGAAGCTAAAAGCCTTGAAGCTACCTGGGGATAGGCCACAATGCAAGTTCAACACTCAAAAACTGAATGACATAACCACAAGGGCACTTTCGCTGCAACTGTCAAAGCAAAGCAGGAAACACTACGTGGCATCACTGAGGAATCATGCGTGGAAGACCATTGGAACTCTCTGAAGGTGATTTTCAACGAAACGTGTTTAACGGTTTTAGCAAGAAAGAAGAAACAAGACAAGGAATGGCTCTCAACGGACACTTGGAAGCTAATAGAGGAAAGGTGAATGGTGAAAGAGAAAATGATTCAATGCAATGACGGACCAGAGAAGGAGACGCTGAGCTCAACTTACACGGCACTGGACGAAGAAGTGAAAAAGAGTGCCAGGAAGGACAAAAGACGATTCTACGACAACCTGGCCACTGAAGCTGAGAAGGCAGCAGGCAAAAGGGATCTGAGGACACTATATCAGATAACCAAGTCTCTATCCGGGAAGAGATCAACACAAGTAAAACCTACAAAAGACAGCCAAGGGAACCCAATTACCAAGGAAGAAAGACAGATTAAACAATGGGCAGACCACTTCAACGGACTCTTGAACCGACCACCACCTACAACCTGTCGAGAAATGCCAACAACAGCACGTACACAACTGCAAGTTGACAACAATCCTCCAAAGAAAGCTGAAGTCTTGAATGCAATCGAGCTTCTGAAAGCTGGAAAAGCAGCTGGACCGGATAAAGTACCCACGGAAGCACTGAAAGCGGACCCAGAAACGACAGCAGATATGCTGACTCCATTATTGCAAAAGGTCTGGAAGGAGGGAAAGGTGCCTGCTGACTGGAGGAAAGGTTATCTCGTGAAACTACCAAAGAAGGGCGACTTAGGACTCTGCAAGAACTGGCGAGGAATCATGCTCCTGTCGCCGCCAAGTAAAATTCTGAGTCGCATCATCCTGGAGAGGATAAAGGACGCACTGGATGCAGAATTCCGACCAGAACAAGCTGGATTCAGGAAAGGCAAATCATGTTCTGACCAAAGTGCAACTCTACGCATCATCATCGAACAAAGCATGGAATGGCAGTCAAACATCTACCTCAACCTTATAGACCTTGAGAAGGCCTTCGACAGCGTTGACCGCGAAGTAATTTGGAAACTACTCAGGTACTACGGCGTGCCCCAAATATTCATCAACTTTATTCAACAGCTGTACGACAACGGCGCATGTCAAGTGATCCACAACGGAAAACTCAGCGAGGCGTTTGGAGTAAACACAGGAGTCGGACAAGGGTGCTTATTATCACCAATGATATTCCTAATTGTGGTGGACGCGATTGTGTGTCAGACAGTGGGAAACGAGAAGACAGGGATATCCTAGACCGACGAGAAGAACATAGAAGACCTGGATTTCGCGGATGATGTATGTTTGATGTCACACAAAATCGAAGACTTACAAGCGAAAACCAACAAACTGGTCGAAGAAGCAGCAAAGACAGGACTCCAGGTGAACATAGACAAGGCAGAGGTTATGAAAATAACCAACCAACAACAGCAACGGCAGCAGTACCATCCAGCGCCAATCACCATCAACGGGAGGGATTTGAAAGAGATTACTTCATTCACTTATCTAGGGAGCATTGTCTCAACTACAGGAGGAACGGACGAGGATGTCAAATCGAGCGAGAATCGGGAAGGCGAGAAACACATTCATCAACCTGAAACCAATCTGGAAATCTTCGTCATTCAGCATCAGCAAGAAAATTCTGATTTTCAATACAAACGTCAAGTCAGTCAGTTTTGCCATACGGATCAGAAACTTGACGGGTCGCAGCAGGTGGCAGACCTTTATCAACAGCTGTCTTCGTTCTATACTCAAGATCAGATGGCCGGAAAGAATCACCAACAAGAAACTATGGGAACAAACAAAACAAGAACCAATCGCCCAACAAATATGCAGGAGAAAGTGGAGATGGATCGGACACTCGCTGAGGAGGTCGCTGGGTGACATTGCGCGTCAGGCCAGTGCTCGAATGAAACCCGAAAGCGAAGCGGCGAAAAAAAAAAAAAAAAAAACATGGAGGAGATCGTGTGAAGAGGAGTTGAAACAGTATGGACTAACATGGATGCAAGTGAAAAGTACAGCAGAAGACAGAAGCAAGTGGAGAAGTGCAGTTGAAGCCCTATGTCCCACTAGGAACCCAAGGGAACAATAATAATATAATAAAATGTCCAATTGTAGGAGGATCGAGGAGCGGAGTATTCTAACTAGACGTTACTTTCTCACGTTTGCCATTGGACGAGGAATTCTCAATATATGAGGTAGCTTTGCAAAATCTTTTCAGGGTTTTCTGAGTGAATTTAAAGTGTGGTGCTGCAAAGCTCCTGATCGGCACATTAATACTCCTTAATTGAGTCGTAACCCTGGTACTATGGTGCTCTTACCCAGTTTATCATAACCATTAGGTCACTCGTGCGAATAAAAGGTTTAAATTGGTCTTAACAGAAGCCTTTAATGATTAGCTCGTAGCTATTTGTGAGTTTTCCGACTGGTTTTGTGATTTGTTAGGTCCGAGACACTACTTTAGACTCCGCATTTTGCGAAATCAGATTATATCTAACAAGTTTGTTTGATGGTCTGATTGGTTTCACAAACAAAACTTCAGTCTTATCCGTTGTAAATTCGAAAACTGTTCACGGAAATTTTATTTTCGACAACCCATAAAGTTGTGTCTGTTAACAGCTCTTGACATCTGTGTCATTTGCTGTATTTATAAACACTGTTGGATTACTGCATAAGACTATCCCAAATGACAGATGCAAAGGTTTGGCTTAATGTTTCGTCGTCTAGTCATGTTTATCATCACAGTAGTTCTTTAGTGTTACCGGTGGCAACGTTCCCTTCGGGGATCATTCTAAGTGCCGATGATGATACCAGTTGGTGTATGCGCCACTGACGTTCATTTGACGGATGGTGTTTTTTTGGTGTTGATTATAATGGGGATGCAGTCGCTGTCGGATTGTACGGAGGTATTTTTCATTTATCTGCATGTGGGCTGTTTGTACTTGGTGTGTCAAGTCTGTTAAATAATTTAGTATTTTGTATGTTGGCGTTCAAATATTACTTGGTTGGGAAACTGAATTTTCTAGGTTTGGATATATGAATAATAAATTCGATTTTCCTATCCGTCGTTCGAGAATTTCTTATTTGTTTCTCTGGTAGTTTTTTGTTATTAGTGTTTATAGTAATCTCATTCGAAATCCTATTGTGGACATGATTTACATGTTCCTCTAAGTCAGTATTTTGGTTTTCTTTGAGAAATTATTAAATCTGGGTTGTGTACCTATTAGTGTAACTCATTAAAGTTTCCTTAGTTGTGAATAAGTCTTAGTTGTATATGAATCTTTGGTTAAGTCGGATAGGGTATGAAAAAAGAGGTGGTGTAGTCGAAATCTGTTGAAGTTGTTGAAGTTCTCAGTTGTTGGTTAGTGCCAAATAGGTGTAGTGAAAATTATCTTCGTCAGGTTGTCGAGATACTAAGTACCATTGGGTAGAGAGTGTGGATTATATGCCATGAAACTGTGCTGATTAGTGCAGATGCATTCACTCTTTGTTATGTCCCATATCGATTAAATCTTGTTTATCCATGTAGTTAGTCTTTTTCCACACATTTGTGTGTATAACAGTTCTTTTGAGTTTTTATGTACTTTTGTATGTTAAATGATGTGTTGTGACTTGAACTGCTGCAATTTTTGCAAGTTTTCACGCTGAAAACTCAATCAGTTACTCGATTTCACGAACCAACCTTGTTCCCTTATAATATGAAGGACACTTCGTTGTCACTAAACTTAACTCCTTACATTTTAAGATAGCTTGAGTAAAAAAACTATTAAAGTGCGTTTGTATGGATTAAGAAGGAAAAGAAAATGTATTACTGTTCGTTACTCCTCAGTATTCCCCACAAATACAAAATCCTACTAACCTTCAGTCTTTTTATTATCGCTAAAGAAAATCTTTACTCCTATGTTATTGTTAGTGTTGTTAATGTTTAGTGGTTTTGTACGTAACACACAATGACCTACAAATATTTCTTGGAAAGATTGAGTTAATATAGTCACATCTGGCATAACCATTTGAAATTTTACCTTTAAATCTACAAATCCCAATACTTAGTATTCAGTTATATATTGGTATGTTTTAAGCAACGTTGAATTTTAAAACTAGTGCAGATTTCGAGTTGTTTTTGAAACCAGTGTATTGATTTCTTAAAAACAATTTCAGTTACACCAGTGTACAGTTACCCTCAGTGGGGATAGACAATGCTTTCAACCACCTAATGCCTAGTGATTCTACACAGGAAAATATAAAAGCCAATGACAATGCAAGCGAATCTGTCTTTATCCAGATGTCAGATAGCTTATTATGTCCTGTGAGAACTAGAGCAATGCTGATAAGCAAACCCAGTAGGCTCAGATATACTCCTAAAAATGTCTAGCAAAGGAACGGTGTTGAATTAATGCCAGTAATGCTGAAAGCCTGAACTGATTTCCAGTCTGTGCCATGAAATAATCCATTTCAGATCAGATTCAGAATGTACTCACTAAAGAATGTTAGAATTATTTCAGAATTAGTTAGATTTAATTCAGCATTATAGTAAGCTTGGGGACTTTTCCCAAATCACAGATAAAAATGTTTGGCGTAATATTTCTTTGTGTAGTCATGTTTATCATTACTGGAGTTTAATGAGTACTGGTTTTATTTTCTGTATAATAGTAATTGCTCGTACAGGAATAACGTTAAGCATTCGACGATATTTTCCTTCAGTGGTAATGTTTTGTAACTTTTCTGGAGTCGCTTCCAATATTTCGAAGAAAAAGTGAACGTTAAAGGAAAATGCTATAAATTTCAACTAGAATTTTCTGATCGCCGCTCCTAATTAGACTTGTTTTAAATTCTCTGTGTTTTCGGATTTCTCGTGCTTTATTTCTTTTGCCGTTAGTGTTCTTGTTTTACGCCTTTTGGTGAGAAAGAAGCACTTTTGTTCACTTAGTACTTCTGTAGTGGTGTGAATAAAACTGCAGTGTTAATAATCAGACTTCGTTGAAAATTTGATTTACTGGTGATGTTCACATAGCATTGCAAGTATTTTAACCATGCACTATCATCCAGTAGCGAGTATTAAGTCACTCTGTTTTATTCTTGAGAACCAATAGTTGAATTCTCGAATGGCGTCGTCATTCCTGTTAAACGATGCTGCGATTTATTTAATTCGCCAGTCACTTCACTAGGTTTTCCGTAGCCATCTTGGTAAAGCTACTTTCAATCAACTGTGATGATAGCTCTCATTTATCTTACGATAATCTCAAAACACTTTCAAACCTGTGAAATATTATACTGATTTCTGCAACTTAGTTCGGGATGTAGATTCCTAGTGGGAAGCGGTCCAAATGTTAATTTTGTTCATTTGAATTATACCATCCCAAATGATGACTGGATTAGCTCAGATATGCGTCATAATCCCTTGTTATGCTACTGTCCATTTTTATTTTTACTGAAAGTCTAAGTGTATTCGATTTTCTCAGGAATCATTTTTACATGTTTCTTGTCAATATGTTTTAGTAGTTTTCATATGTTTATTCCGAGTAAAACTAAAAGGGAGGAAAGGGTCTGTGTGGACTACTAATTTTGATCAGTTGTTAGCTTCTGTCTTAAGCTGCAGGTTCCTTGACACTTATTAAGCGCCTTTATAAACGGATAATTTGCACGTCATTCACTTTAAGAATTGAGTAGTACGTGGTTTGAAGTCCTGTCTGTGTGGATGTGTTTTAGTATTGTGTACGGGTTATCTAAAGAAAGACTTCATTCTGATGTCGTCTTACTTATCAATGATCGGTTGCGCTAATCTAAATTGATGCTATGATGCTCAGTGTCTTTATGTTTGATATTTTTTATTTTGATTATAGCTTGATTCCACACTGTATTTTTGGTACAAGTATGGAGTTTAATGTGATATCGACCACCCGACATATGATGTCGGCGAGAGTCTCAACGCTGTGCCTTCGAATTGCGAAGTAACTGTTGACGATGGGAAAAATCTGTCTTCACTCTCATCCTGAGAAGTGTTAATTCGCATCATCCTGTCGCACCCTGACTTTTCTTATAACTTAAGTATATAATTCGCACTGATATGACGTCTGGAGCAATATTCACATGTCATTTTCCTAAAGAATGATTGGATTTATTTGTTAGTAGTTCGATATTATATAAATCTAGTCCGTTTTCAATTCTAGCTTTCTACACTGTCTATTATGTCAAAACTGGAAGTTTTTGCTAAAACACTAGCAGATTTGGGACACAAACGGTTCAGGAAAAATCCGCGTGTATATCCAAAGGCAAAGAGTTTGTTATAATGTTTGTAAATGAGGGGTTTCTCCTAGGCAAACTTCTAAAAGTAAGGCAACCAACTCCCGTCGATCCAGAAGAAGATGAGCTTTGTCGGAAATGGTGGACAGATTACCGATTACAGTATGAAGCCACTAGGTAAGTTTGATACATTTGTAGTTGACTCAATGGTAGCAAATTGTTCGCGTATGAGATCTACCGCCAAAAAATGGAGGCGATGGCAATTTCACGAACTGATCATGAGCATGAGCGTAATAGACGTCAGGAACTCACAGAACACTGGAATAGAGAAACCCAGTTAGCTGCTACAGGCAAATTAGAAGAACTTCTAAAACTTCAAATTGAAAAGCAAAATATAAAAATAGCCGAATTTACGAATAAAGAAACAGTATTCTCAGAGAAGCTACAAGCTGATCTTGCTGCCATTAAAGTAAGTTTTTTTCTTCTAATATGTTACATATTTCGGGTGCACAAATTATTTTCGATGGTTACATGTATGCAATTAGGCATTTTGTTATTCTGAAGTTGAGTTTTGTCACTGTTACAGCTTTTTCTTATAATTGTGTAGTACCAAAAATACATCCGCTTAAGGACGTTCACATTCATAAATAGTCCCTATCTAGGCATTAATGAAAAGAAAGAAACAATTAGTTCAGCGAAAAGGCTCTTGTCGGTGAATTTATTTCCCCCTTTAGCTGTACAGTCGCATTTATATACAATTTTTTCACGAAAGAAGGTAGTAGCAAAAGTGATTAGTTGTCATAATCATAGTTGTTAATATTAGTCAATGCATGAGAGAAGCTGAGTAAGTGTATTAGAGTTGTGTAATAGAATGAATAACTTCATGAATGAGTTGTAGTCAGGATGCATATTATTATTACTATTATTATTTAAACACAAAAGCTTTGTACAATATGACACCAAGAGGATGCGCTACATAATAATAATAAAACAACATAGATTAAAAGTAAAAATATAGGTGGAGAACGGATAAAGAACTTCATCTGGAAGGAAAACCCTCATATTTATAAGTTCAAACAACATTCGTCAACTGTCGTCGAGGAGGGAAGAAAGAAGAAAATTGCAACACGTTCGCCATTGATTACGATTCTTGGCCATATCCGATAACATTTCGAGCCATCAATTCGAGCTATCTCTCGAACCAGGGAGCCATGACGCACCAATCTATGCTAACCTAACACAAATATCCTTCATCCTATCTGAAAGGGTTCAAGAACACCATTCTGCATGGTTGCAGAAAAACAGCAGGGGTTCTATAAGGAGTGCAATATTTGAACAACTCGTCAAGACTGTTCATTCTATCTCAACAAATTTTATATAAATGCAACTGTACAGTTAAAGGGGGAAATGAATTCACCGAAAAGAGCCTTTTCTCTGAACTAATTGTTTTGTACTTTTCATTATTGATCTTCATATTCTCATTGGTATTTCCGGCCCAACTTCTGAGTCAAAAAGTTGTCTATAGTGAAGAGAATAATTTTTAGGATATTCACTTTGATCAAATATATACTTACATTGGCTAAGAAATAGATAAGACTGCTGCTCATTGTTCACTGGCTTTCATATTAATAACGCATTACAAAGGTGTATGTTTTGGATTTAATGCCACTGTGAATAACTGTGATGCAAAATGAAGTTTTGTAACTTATGAAAAAGATATTTCAGCAACTTTTGAAAATAATGTGGAAATTGTTTAAGGTTATAAGTAATTATGCGTGATAATATATGAAACTATGGAATTAGTCGGAAAAAATGAATTGAGGTCAAAGCTGTTTTCAGATATGAATCATATCAAACGAACACTTATTTGATAAATCTAATGATAAGTTTCCTCGATGGACGAGCTGATTATACATGTACCAGTTTAACGAGATCCTGTATGGATGAGTATGTAGACTGTTCGTTGGGAACTATTGTTAAACGTATCAGTTGGTGATCAGTGTCAGTGTCTGTAAGTATAGTATGTGCTTTGCACCCTCTAAGTGCAAAGTACTGTTACAATATTGGCAGGAGCCTGAACCTTCACTCACTCTTGTAGGTGAACCGCTTGAAGTTGTTCAATATTTGTGTATCTCGGTAGTTGTGTGAGTGCTGGCGGAGGGGTGACGGATGAGATTTCCAACCGTATCATGAAAGCTAGGGTGGCATACGTTAACTTGAGCCACCTCTGGAGCCATCATGACGTTAGCCTGACTGTCAAAGATCGGGTATACAATGCTTCGATGCAGGCTGTCTTTCTCTACGCCTGTGAAACCTGGCCTCTCCGAGCTGAGGATGTGCGGCGGCTATGCGTGTTCGATCATCGCTGTCTCCACAGGATTGCTTGCGTTCGATGGCACCATCGCGTGAGTAATTCTGAGGTTTGGCAGCGTGTGTTTGGACGCAGTGGAGATCACCATTCGTTGAGTGTCGTTATCTGGAGACACCGGCTTGGGTGACTTGGACATCTGTTGCGAATGTCATCCCAGAGGCTTCCGTACAGGTGTTTATTCGCTAGCCCTGGACGGGATGAAAAAAGCGAAGAGGTGGTCAGCCCATGACGTGGCGTCGTGGGATGAAGGATATTTGTGCTAGGTTAGCATCGGTTGGTGCGTCACGACTCCCTGGTTGGAGTCCGAGAGATAGCTCGAATCGATGACTCGAAACGTTATCGGATATGGCCAAGAATCGTAATCAATGGCGAACGTGTTGCAATTTCCTTCTTTCTTCCCTCCTCGACGACAGTTGGCGAATGGTGTATGAAATTATAAATATGAGGGTTTTCCTTCCAGATGAAGTTCTTTATCCGTTCTCCACCTATATTTTTCCTTTTAATCTATGTTTTTTTATCATTATTGTGTGGCGCATCTTTCTTGGTGCCATATTGTACCAAGTTTTTTCTTCTGCGTTTAAATAAATAAATAAATTGTTAAACGTATTTCTGAACGTAAATCGTTCACTTTCTACGATGTATGATCGTTTTGAGCCATTTAGTGTATAATTAGTTATTTGTTAACACATAAAATCCAACCAAACTTTATAAAAGGATTGTACTTACACCTATTATATATATATATATATATATATCAAAATTTGAGATCTTCAAGTGAATTCATACATCAGGCCATCGAGTGAACCTGGAATGGAAAGAGACTGTTTGTGTTGTGGTGGAAATCATGTGAAGAGAAAATGAAAGATTGTGGATATCCTTGGGATTTGTCAAAAATGGTGACAGAGCATTGAGTGCAATGGAGTTCTATATTTCTGTCGGAACACAAGGAATGCGTCACATTGATGATAATGATAATATTTCGGAAGTTGAGAAAGCAGTAAAATAATGTACGAGGATGAATGCTACAGAGACGATGGCGGATATATACATATCTCCAATTCCATTAACAATATTGAGAAAGAGGCATGCTATACACGATCCATATGTACACTAATTATTTCCTTATAAATACCAGCTGATAGTTACGTTATATTTCATTCCTAAATTGCTAATATTCAAATAACTTTTTTACTTGTTTCCCGCCCCCCTCCCCACAAATAGATGTTATCTGAACAAATGATTACAGAAGAGAATTTAGACGAAAAAATAGAGGAGATCATGAATTCCGATATAGTCGATTACAATTTTATAGTTGATTACAAGGGTAATATTATCCGAGGAAGTAAACCGCTACAAGACAAATCAGTACCCCGTACCGGCGTCCAGGAAGAAGAAGAAGAAGAAGAGGGAAGTGTACAGAACAATGATGCAATGTCAGTTACTTCGTAGAATAATTTTCTCTTTTACTAGAAAATATTTGTATGAATACTTATGTAGTGATTATGATTAGTATGATTACATTGTATATAAATTATTGATTTATACATCCTTTATCCGTGTTGTTTTGAATTCCATCACTTCTAAATTTTAAGTTTTTAGATTGCGGGTTTCTGTAGGGAATTGGATTAATTACATTTGTTGGATTCTGTCAAAAACCAACATCATTTAGAGATCATTGAAAGTAAGGGAGCACTGGGCAGCTGTTGCGCTCCCACGAGCCCATTTGGGTTAGAACCTGGAACCTTCAGGTTGCAAGACCAAGCCTGTTTACCATTCAGTCACATGGGTCGGAATACAGTGAGTGACCCATGAATGCTAACTGCCAATTCGTGATATAGCGCTACTACTAATTAATGCCTTTGGTGAGCATCCATTGGTGAATCTCACTGGTCATATGACTACTTAGTAGAGCTTCAGGACATCCATCCAGTAGGCATGAATGTGCTAGATATTGATATTTAGACAATAGGGGGTTTTGTAGAAATCTGAATTAATTTTAATATAGATTTTGTCACGAACCAGTATCTGTTAGGGAAGCATTGAAAACCATCAGGGAGTACTGGACAGTCGTTTTGTCCTAGTTCGGGTTCGGACAGTTAATAAGCTTATATTTATTTGATAGTTAATTTCCTTTAGCTGTAATGCATCTAGGTCTCGTTGTTGTTGGTAACCCTTAGAAACTTGTCTCCTGAACGTAAAGGTTAGAATTTCGGAAGCTGCATTAGTCTCTTCAGGCGTTTCAGACATTTTTCGTTGATGAGTGCTAACTCACTCAAAATATAGAGGTCTATGTCTGGAAGTTTCAACTGACTTATCACTCGGAACATCTACTGAATTACAGTATCAATTTAATAGGCTCCTCACCATAGCATACTTTGATTATGTTCAAAATTTAAAGCCTAAAGTCCCCGTAGAACTGATTTTTTTCACAAATTGCGTATGAAAACCAGTCAACATCCTTACTAAGTTAATCAAGGAAGTTCCATATTAGTTTGTTTATTAGGTATATCACACAGTGAATCAGTATTATTTACTGGATGACGTCTCGAACAAAATTTATTGTTCATAATCATATCAATTGTGATCACACGACTTTGACACTTGAGTTTTATAGCTTTCTTTGTTTTCTCCTATTTGTCGTAGGGGGAGTAGAATTTTCCATATATCGGGGACAGGTGATGAATCATTCCTATTACATGTATTTGCAGTTGATTCAATAAACAAAGCTTCTGTTATCAATCTCTCCCTATACCCTGTGACATTAGATTTTAAAACTGTCATCCTATCCCATCTAACGTCATCCAGTAAATAATACTGATTCACTGTGTGATATACCTAATAAACAAACTAATATGGAATTACTTACTACCACAGTGCCCAAGTTTTACACATATATTAATAATCAAGGAAGTGTCAGTAACTTCCTATTGCTTCTATTAGTGGAAGAAGCAAGAATCCTGCATTATGATCACCACTGATTTACATGCACAACCACATCTAATACCGTTTCGCGCTACTTGGTCACATGATCCCATGCGGAAAATTATGTCACATAAACAGATGCCAAACCAGAACAACAACTATCTTCCATTCCATGATATCGTAATGTAGGCCAGTCAACACTTCTCAGAGCTTGCAATCAATAGTTAGCATTATTCATTATTATTATTGTTTCCTTTTATTCCTAGAGGAACATAGGGCTTCAACCGTGCGTCTCCATTGCGTTCTGTTCTCTGCTAGAGTCTTCACCTGGCTCCATGTCTGCCCACACGTTTTCATCTCCTCTTCACATGACCTCCTCCAAGTCACCCTTGCACTGACGAACAACTCACCGCTTCCCTTTCGGGTTCCACTCGAGCAATGGCTTGTCTAGTGATGTCGCTTGATGGTTTCCTAAGAGTATGGCCGATCCATCTCCATTTCTTCCTGCCTATTTGTTGCACAATCGGTTCCTGCTGAGTTGGTTCGCTCCCAGAAATCCCTGTTGCTGATCTTTTCTGGCCGGCCAGCTGATCTTGAGTATTGAGCGAAGACAACTGTTAATGAAGGTCTGTAGTTTGTTTGAGATGCTCTTTATGACGCGCAGTGCAAGTCTCTGATCGGTATAGTAGCACTGACTTCACATTGGAGTTGAAAATTCGGATCTTATTTTTGATGGTGAGTGCTGTTGACCTCCACACAGACTTGAGAGTAGTGAAAGCTTGTCTTGCTTTTCCGATTCTTGCTTTGATATCCTCGTCAGTTCCGTGGGCCTGTAGTTGAAACGATGCTCCCCAGGTAGGTAAAAGAGGTTGTTTCTTTCAGGTCCCTTCCATTAATGCTGATTGTTGTTGTTGTTATTAACATTCACTTAATTGTTTGCCTTATGACACAGATGGTTTTCTATTGCAGTATCATTATATCTGTGTGTGATCTGATATACTGTTGTTCAAGGTCCCGCATTAGTCCACGAAACATTCACCAGAATGATATGAAAGCTTTTAAGATGACTTCTATAGTACACTTTCTACTTACCAAGTCCGCTGTTCCAAAACAGCACAACTTGCAGAAAAGTGATCTGTTCGAATACATAGGGTGACACTATTTACCTAATATCATTACTCACTTCAGCCAACCTTATATAGAGGCGGTGATTATCAGACAGGCAGTCCTTTAACATGCTCATGTTAATGGGACTAGGTTTCGCAGATATAGAAGTCTATTCTAACTGTCTATGGTTGTTTTTAAAATGATAAAAAGACATTGGTCAACAAAGACTGCTCCTTTCGTAATCCTACTTCAAAGCTGTACAGTAGTTATATGGTGCTCTGAAAGGTCATAGAAATGCCTGCAAAGGTGAGTTGTTAACATAACATATGAATGTACATATCTCTCTTCTGGAAAGTGTAATGACTCTGCTATCTCAATACTGCCCTCACCTATCACCTCACAAAGTTATCAGTTAATTTAGCTGTATATTTTATCCGGTTTGTAACCTGGGACAGTGTGCGTCTATAACTGAAAAACAATTGTGTCTAAGCGACATGACTATCCTAAGTATAGACTTAGTAGGTGTGTTATTAAGAGAGAAGAAACTACATTTGAACACTAATATAATACGTCTTTATTTACGATGATTATTCGTAGGTTGTGTGACTTAATTCTGTTGATATAAGGCACCAGTAGTTTAATTAGTTAGGACTCAAGTGTGTGGAATGGATGTTTTTAGTACCACAAATTGTGACGACTAATGATACTGTCCATTTGCGCAGGCTGAATTAATAATAATAATTTGCTTTATTATTTTCAGCACATATCTACGATATTTGCATCTAATTTTACAAACATTCAAAAGGAGTATTAAACAAACAAAAAAATAAATAAATCTAAAGATACCAACAGCAAAAAAAAACAAACAAAAAAACCGGATAAACACAAAATAATTATAAATGCGAAAAAGTACCAAGAAGTAGAAAGGAAAATAAACATCATATAATAATATCTCAGTATTGGGTAGTGGAAGCTATGATATGATTATGCATGGTGACAGTAAAGCTGTAGTCATACAAGAAGTTATGAAATGATAATTAAGAATGTTTATCGCCAAGATGGTCAGTTAATTTGGTTGAAACAACTCTAAACAATCATAAAATAACATTTCAGGGTTGTTGTTTTGTTTTTTATTATCAGGTCTAATGCAGTGTTTGTAGTGGTAGTGTGAGTAATCCTGAATGATACAAAATTTTTTTTTCAAGGTGGTGACTATGGCGTTCACAACCAATGATTGTCAGTTTAATATTGCCGAAAAGTATAGAAAATAAGAAAAAACAACCACAAAACTAATAATTACATGATGGTTAATGACAGGACAATTTTGTAATACTCATAGTGCTAATAGAGTCGGAACCAGTGGATACACAATAGAAGGAATATAGTAAAGTACAAAAAAGGAAGCCAATGTTAATAATTTAGGTAGCTAAGTATGTTTGAGAAGGAGTTCACTATAGAATACAAAATAAGAGAAATAAAAGAGCCTAAAATTATGTTGTTAATAACAAAGCAAGTCATAGGTTTCACGCTTAACATTGTCTCTGTCGCTTAGAACACGGGCCAAGTATGGTATCGTTGAGTTTCTGTACTTGGTTGTACGAGCATAGATTATTTTATACTGATTTATGGTTTTACTTGATGAGATACAAGGCGAGAGTTGGGAATAGAGGGGGTGTTGGGGGTCTGAGAGTATGGTTTTTGACCATTTTTCGCATGTATTCAGATGCCTATCAACTAATGTAGTGACGAGCTGACTGAGTTTTACACCACTAGTCCTACTGACTACCTTCAACATCCTTCTCAGGATGGTATAGTCCTTTTTCAGTAGACCAGGAAAGACTAACGGGGAGCAGTAAAGTAGAATAGGTAAGATACAAGAGTTGACAAATCGTGAAAGTAGTGGCTGGGTGATTCCAGATTGTCTAAGTTTCTTAATGTAGTAGGTAAGACAGAACACTTTCTTAGAAATTTTTAGGATATGAGATGTCCAAGTAAGGTTGGAGGATAGAACTAGACGGGATTTGAACCTGGGAATCACCAGCTACCAGTTGAATGCTTATACCATTAATCCATATCTTACAATTAATACTTTATCGACAAAATACATGGAAGTTGAGAAAGCCAACAAGAACCTCTTATTGTGTTAGAATCAACTATTCTTTAGATAAATATGCCGACGACAAACACAATTTTACAAATCAAGGAGACTGATTTGTAGTAATTCCTGACAAAACCAGAAATAGAAGCCCTGAAACACCTTAAGAATTATAACGATATAGTAATCACAAAGGAAATGCAACATTAGTATTAGACAAATCAGACTATGTGAACAAGGTGAATACTCACATATAAACAGGACAATATGAGGAAATTAATAAGTCAATAGACACAGTTATGAATGAAGTTAAGAAATTCACAGCGGACCTTATACGCTGAATGAAGCCGTTTCTAGGTGAGTCTAATTGGTTTAATTTAATGCCCAAAACTAGTAACCCCAGTAGGATATATGGTGTTGTTAAAGTTCGTAAGT